TGAGACCATATTTACACAGGAGGATGGAGGACCTGTTCCCAATGAGCTGCTGCATCTCCACAGCAACTGTTTTCACTAGTCTACTTCCTGACAAAACCATTACACACAATGCTCTTGATAATAGATAGGTATTCCATATGTATATATATAAATCCCAAAATATTCTATGTAATTAAACAAAATGGACTCCCGGAACTTGCCCATTACTGTTCAGGTACCCTTGAAGCCAAAACATGAGTAATTACATTATACAAAACACCTGTTTTACACGCAATGTCCAGGGTGTCAGTTATATTAGCTGGCTACCCCATATCGGGATTTCTACAGGACCAATCGCAGCCCTTGTTAAAAATCCAAATAAGCAAAGAAGCTGCGTGACACCTGCAGATTCCTGGTGATGAGATGGTACTTCTCCTCTGGGCTCAACTGCTCCCCCATCGCCGCTTTCTCCTGCACTCGCAGTACCTGCAGAGGCTGAGGGGAAAAGAATAGAACAACTGAAATATCCGGTACTGTAGCTCGCTATCACTGCTTCAGTAGGGCTCGTGACTGCCATCTTTCATTGCCTCCATTCATTTCCAAGGCTGCAGACTGAAATACTGTTACAGCTTGCAAATACTTTTAGCCACTATCTAGTTAGCGCTCTAGCTAAATACCGTCAGCTAACATTAAATTAAAACATGTAGCTAGCCGGCTAACTGGTGAGCCTACAGTTCATATGATCCAACGAGACATAATTTATGTCTGACTAAATAAATGCCACGTATGTGTCGCACCTAGCAGAACATCAGTTTCTGTTTAACCGGTCAGGGACATGCTCCAGGCTGACGTAACATCAGATACACGCATCGGATCATTTAACACTTCCTCAAGCTATCTGGCTAACGTAAATCGAAACCATAGCGCTGAATCTGTCAAACTTGGCGAAAATCAAAACAGACACTTGAATACATCACATAAAAATAATTCTGCATCCATTCAATGGCAGGTTTAGCTAGATCACAGCACTGCCTGCTAACTTAGCTGATCAACACGAGTTAGCTAGCCTGCTACATATGGCTAGCTAGCTATATGATCAGACTTTGCTATATAACTTGTCGTTAGCTCTCTATTTGTGTGAAAATGTCAATATCCTAGTATCACAGTATCCTCAGTCCCTGTGTAATACCATATAACTCGTTACATACATTTCAATCACTGGTACAGATTTCCCCAACGTGCCGATGCCGGTCGATCGCCTGGTTCAGTCCCTCACTGTGTCAATGTGTTGCATCAGCGCTATGCAAATATCTATGATCGACTACAAAGCCTGGAAGGAAAAATCATCGAGCATGATTAAACTGATCCTCGATGGCTCCGACGCCGTGTCCCCTCGCCGGCTCCCTTCGCTCGCGAGCGCGCCGACCGGCACATTGATGCCGCTGGTTTAGAAAACCGCCCCCTCACCCCTATATCTTTTGCAGTTATGCACTATTGTGGAATATTTTTTCTCTTCAAATTCTTGGTAGGAACAACCACCAAACGTAAATTTATCATTCAGGTCTATCACAGAATGCCGTTGTTGCTGAGTAAAGATGGAGGGTAAATATTTCAAAGCTCCCACCTAACCCCCTCCCATTACTATTTTCCCACGCACTGGCCCACTTGGTAATGCAGAAGACTTTCAAGCTGAGAGGACCTCTGATGAAGGGAATGGGGGGGGGTTCTGCCTGATCCTGATTGATCTTATTGAATGAAACAATTCATTACATTGCAAAGTGCTGAACATTCCATCCCTACTGCCAGCTACCTCCACATGTGGGGCACATGATCATGTATGAAGGAGGCATTTCTGTTGTGGAGACTGGTCTATATGGTACAGACATTAATAGACTGTGACATTATGGTGGCATGCCCAGCAACACAATTTATTTATTTTCTTACAAATAAGAAGTTAAATGTGTGGTGACAGCTGTATCATTCAGTTTATTGCTGTAAAATCTTAAAATTTACAATGCATTGGAACCTCAATTATTCTAACAGAGAGCAGAAAATGTTTTATTGCCAGTGCTACTATTCAAAGTGATGACCACTGATGGGTATCCTCTGGAGTAGAAAATTCTAGGGTTATGAGAGATGAAAACCCTAGGTTTTTGATTGACATAAAAAGCATTTCTATATCATCTTAATAGGGGTCTTTGATTTGGTGTGAGCTTCAAACATCTGAAAGAATTTAGCCTTTTTTAAATTCTTTGAAATTTCATTTCCCCCTAATAATAATTTCTATTTATAATGTCTAATAATTTCAAGGTTATATTAGACATACTTGGCACAATAATGACTTCAGTCTAAACTACTTATCTTTCAGCCAAACAGATCTACGCAGTACACAGGCACATTTGGTCAATATCAATTAGTATTTATTAACATTTAATCATAAATTAAATCACTACATAAATGTACATTTCAATTAGTAATGACATCTTTCAAAAAGTGAAATATATTTACAAGTTATACATGTATATACATACAATACATATACACAATGTATACAACTGTATACCGTAGAATCCATTGATGGTTTTAAGCAGAAATAAAACTATTCCCATTTGCACAGAGCAACAAATACAGTATACATTTGGCAAAAGGTGTCCACATCAATGTTTGTAAAACAAAAAAAAGAAAATATATTTAAGTTTACTAAAGTTTATTGGAATAAAAGTCATTAGTTAAACATTGGCTACACCAGAAACCCCTGGGCCAAAAAAAAAAAATCCCAGGTTTGTATTTATTGAACTAAACATTACAAAAAACTCATGTTCATGACATGTATGTAAGGTATTGTATGCAACAATATTGGTGCATCGACTGTTATTTATGCAATGCATACAGTATGAAGATTCAACTGCATACTCACAGCTGAATCATTTTATCAATGGAGGTCCAGCTAGTTAGAATACATCTACTATGGTGACCACAGTACAAAAATTGCCCAGTCTTCTGCAAAGGGCAAAGTCTGAATAGTGTGACACTTTTCAAAATGAGATCTTATAGGAACTTCTCCCAAAACTGAGAATACATGATACATCTACTCCTCCACCTCTAACTTAATTTATTAGACAATTGTCCCTTCTTCCTACCAAAACTAGGCAACATGGGGCTGTGAGCAAAGAAATGTATTTAAAAAATGGACAGAAATTTGTAGTATACCATTAATAAAGTTCACGTAACATTCCTTTTATTCCAATACTTTAAATATCTTTAACACCCTTCCAGGCACTGATACAGTATGCAAACAATTTTTATTTTAAATTACTAAGTACTTCCCTCTGCCAAAAACATATAGACATACACACACAATCACACAAACTTAGACTTCTTAAATTGAGATTTCAGTTAGAGAACTCTCTGCATCACGCACTTAATAAATACAGAGAAAACTGTAACAATTTCAAGAGTACAACTGTACATTTGAATGTAATCATCTCAATTTTTAAAACAAAATGTCTCAAATAAATAAGAAACTACCACTGACTGTAGGGCAGTACCAGACAGGGCCATCCAAAGGATGTGATTCACCAGGTGCAAAAACAAATGGTTTCTCTTTCTCATGGTCCACCGAAGTAATGCCTTAGAAATATAGTATATTAGTGTGGACAGTGCAAAAGTGTGCTTTACAGTGTAGCTCTACACGTTAGAGACAAACCCCTTGTAGCTTCCACTGAAAGCAATGCACATTTTACTGCTTATACACAGAGTTGAAAGCTTTGTTCCTCTGGTTTCTTACAGGCTGCTGTGGCTGCTGCTGGTGTACGTCTGGTCAAGGTATGCACAGTTCCCCCATCATTTTAGGTAGTCAAATGGTTCTCAATGCAAAAATACTCTGTAAAAACTCTTACAAAAGTAAGCAGTCTTACAAAGTACCGCTCATGTAATGAGTGAAGTAGCTGTTTGAAAGAGCAGCACTCATGTGCAAAACTACAGCTATGATAGACAGAGCTATCTGCTACTGTGAATACCCTAAAAAAGAGGGTTGTTATCAAGTTTCTCCACATGACGGACTCAACACAATCTCAAAGTGCGAGTTCAGCATCACGTTTCAAGTTTTCCCCGATTCTTGGTTTAGACGCCCAGAGGTCCTTTAGGCCTTGTAAGTTAGCACTAAGATTGGCAGTGCAAGCAAACAAACAAACAAAAAGAACATACAGATGCGAGATCACATTTCACGGTTTTGTGCAACTCTCTTGTTAAAACAAATGAAACAAAAAAATAATAATAAAGATGGTGTCTCTTGTGGTGCCAAGTCATGAGTGGTCCAAGAGCTCTCGGAAGTGACGAGCGCAGAAGGCTTCTCCCGCAAAGACGCGTGGGGGTTTGTCCCTAGAGCAGCGACGTGGTTCCACAGTGTGCCTTCGGTTGGCTTGTCCCGCCTCCACGGCCTCTCGCCCTCGACCGCCCAGTGTAAACATCTGAAGGCTCCGTCACGCCCCCTTCACGGCCCCCTACACCACGCTTCCCAGCTCGGTGGACCCCGTCTCCGAGTCCGACTCGCTGTCCCTGCGGAAACACGGCACAGCCAAGAGGGTTAGATCCACGAGGAGGCTGTGAGCTGGACGTATGAGACTAAAGGGTTTTGTGGCTGAGCGCTTGCAAATAGTGCTGACCCAGGGCAGCAATGTAGCATAATGGTAAGGAGGGTTTGTAACCCGAAAGTTTGCTGGTTCAATTCCCCACAGGGGCACTGCTGCTGTACCCCTTGGGCAAGATACTTAACCCACAATTGCCACAGTAAATGTCCAGCTGTATAAATGGATAACATGTAAACATTGTAACCTATGTAAGTCACTCTGGATAAGAGCATATGCTAAATGCCAATAAAGTAATGTAATGTAACCTGAAGATGAAAGCTTGAAACATGCCCAGACGACACTGAGGGACATTTTAGATGAGCCTCCAAGTGGAGAGGGACAAAATCCAAGCATACTTGGCGACCCAATGCAAAATAGAGCCTGCTCCTAGGTGGCAGTGTGGCATAGCGGTAAAGAGCAGGGCTCACAACCTTAAGGTTGCTGGTTTGATTCCCGGCAGGGCCACTCCTGTTGTACCCTTGAGCAAGGTACAGTTGCCTCAGTAAATATCCATTTGTAAACATGGACAGGATTGTAACCTACGCAAGTTCCTCACACAGCAACGACTACGTGTTGGCTCCCTACAACACACGCTTGCCCCAGACTGGAAGCGCAACTATGCACGTTCTCTTCCTGGCACCGATGCGTCACTCTGACACAATGAGGATGTTTACCAAACAGTGGCTCTGAGCTAGTGCAACAGGACCCAGGGGCAGGTTACACTACATTACATTCATTTAGCAGACGCTCTTATCCAGAGTGACTTTCGGCACAAAAGAGCAGAGGTGTATCGATTCAAGTTGAATGAGCAACAGTGTCAGACCAGGCTAACCACACTCCCAGAACAGTGAGTGTGAGCGTAACACTATTAAGGGTCCTGAGTAGTGGCGACCCGATCGGTTAGCACACAACAGTCGGGCCCTCACCTTAGCTCCTGCAGCAGCTTGCGGTTGCCCTGCCTCTTCTCCTCGTCGATGGGGTACGTCTTAAATATGATGAGGCCCAGGATGATGAGCACGATGGGCGCCAGGGACACCAGGATTTTCAGGGTTACATCCACAGCTTCTGGTTGCGAGCAGCCTCTAGTGATGTATCCTGCAAAACTGAATAGAGAAACAGGGTTTAAGGAAAAGCGGTCAATGGACATTGTGTCCTGATTATGCTGGCCACATGATCGGTTACAGGAAAAAAAAAAAAACAACGAGGACACACTAACACAGTGCTCCAGTGAACTAAATGGATCAAGGCTACAAATCATACGGTCTATGCTTACTAGACCTAATTTTCTTCCGTATCCAGTTCCTGCAGGAAAATCGATCCATGCTGAGAGTCAGAGACCTTAATGTCCTAAACAATTACACTCGAGTAAAAGGGAGTCTGATCTTCTGAAACTAAAGCACTAAAGCTCACATCAAAAGCTGGGGCTTTTCATGTGTTAAGCATATGCGCATGTGCGCATGATTTGCAGCTGCTCTGTGTGGGTGCTGGGTGATCCACAGCAGTTGCGTGTGTGTTAGGGTGATTTCTTACTCGAGGCTCAGGGTGGAGATGCCGAGGGAAATGCCAGAGGCAAACTTGGTGAAGAAGACGTAGAAGGAGTAGAAGATGGCCTCATGCCCTCGAGAGTCTGGGTTCTTCACCTTGAAATCATCCACCACATCAGGGAGCATGGACCTGCAGAGAGTACACGCACAGTCTCCATCAGGTTCAGCCACCATCTTTTAAATCACTCAGGGTGCTTCTATGACAAACTTAAACTCAGGGAAAGTGTTTGCTTGGATGTACCAAGCACTTGTAAATCAGCCTGGAGAGGGTCATCTGACTGAACATAATCAAAATCGATACAAATGGCCAAACAAACACTTTCCCTACGCATCACTTTCAAGTGCTTACAGACTCCGCAGAAAAGTTAAGATGAAATTCAACCTTGTGATACATGCATAAAATAATGTAATTTCTTTCAGCAAACAGCCAAAGGGTGCCTTTTAAGGCATTACTACCCCCATTTTGTAACACAGAGATGCAGACTTTGAGGATGTCATTTTTAAGATCATGGTAGTTAATGAAGTGCATTTTTGTAAATTAATAAAAAAAAAAAAAGCCTCTTCTTTGAAAAGAAGTTCGCATCAGAATCGGAGTGCAGGTAAGCAACTCTAATTCATCTCCTTACATACAACACCACAGCTGAATCTGAGGCTGGGGAGGGTCTAGATCACAGCTCCACTCACCAGGGCAGGAGGAAAGCAGCGGCCACGCTGACCCCCGCAGCGAACGACACGATGTAGGTCACGGCCAGGTTGCCCTTGATGCAGACGACCAGGATCATGAAAGGCACAACAGACTGCAGAGAGAAAACAACCTCTGTTACTAGCCCGGCAGACACAGCATACATGGACAAGCAGTCTGGGTTAAGAGGCCTGCCCTGAGGGTATCGTTCTGAACAATATTGCAATATTTTTGATGTAACCGCTGTCATTAACACCCATTTTCAAAGATGCCCAGGGCTCCTAATATTGCCTGGCATGAATGCCATGTGTAGAATTTATTACATGAGAAATCAGAACTCTGAATGAGAACTCTATCACCAACTGTCATCTGAAATCCAGCAGGTGGCGCCATTATTCTCTAGGGGCATGGTCTAACAACCAGCCACAGTATGTTTCATAAGACTGTGAGTAACACAGTCTTGTGACCATATCAGAATTTTTTTCTTATTAAAAAAGGTGAACAAACAGCAAGTCATCGCAAGAGAGACGAAACTGACTGTATCCACGGTTTGTTCTCTCTAACCACTAAATAATTCAGTGGGGTGGTACATGGCACTCCCGTTCAACCAGGAGCTGTGAGCCGAAAGATTTTCGAGGGCATGAAGCCAAGGGTGTGAGGCGCTCACCGAGATTCCACAGTACACGGCGGTCTTCTTTCCAAACTTGGTCAGGAACCACTGCCAGAACGGAATGGTCAGGGTGGCAGAGAGCTGGGGAAATGGAAAGAGGAAGAATGGGTTGAGTCTATTTTTAATCCACTTCGATTAAGCACCTTAAAATGTTGCTGCTGTCAATAACACAATATATTTATAATATTGCATTATGAATTACGCTTCAAAAAGAAACACTTGTCATTTTGAAAGGACAGGTTTGTAGCAGAGGTCAGGTTAATGCAGATCTTTGAGATTAAAGGCAAAGCTTCTCCCCTGAAAGAGTCAGTTTATTTTTTTTTCACCTCTCACAGTATATAGCATACCTCTAGCCTATTGAGAGCTTCAGCCTGAAGGATGGCAGTGATGTTAGGATCTCTAATTGACCTTTGGCTATAAGGGGGTGTGTCGAGGGGGGCTGAATTTGAACAACAAAAAAATGCAAAACTCTCTGGGTACACAGATCACATTGAGAGGATTTGCTCAACATTCCAACAGAGCCTTTCGAATTCCACAGAGGTCAGCATCTAACCCTCTGGGGCACCAAAACGCCAAACGACCTCAGACCTCACTGGAGTGGCGGGGCCTGCCACTGAGAGTGTGAGATAATGTAGACCCGATGCCATTTCGCCCGTGAAAGGAGTCGGTGGTACAGAGAGGTAGGGCGAGAGAGTGAGAAACGGGCGAGACAGAAGCCGCATCTGACGGGGGTACTCAGATCAGTCAGCTCAGATGAAACTGCCAATGTGATCAGAAGATAAAATGCTTCATATGTTTAAGCGCTTATCAGATCCACCTGGCAAGTCATGGTGCACACTCACAACAGGGTATGAGGTGAATGATTACACAGCCTCTTTCATTTGGTGTTTAGCAAACCCTGTGCTTTAAGAATGAATTTTGGTAAATTATTTGCTACGCTGTTCCTACAGTTGTGGTACACGATATCAATGTTCTTGTTCCTTGTTTTTCACTTTTCTGAAAAATGATCAATACTCAACTTCACAGTGCAGTGTGGGCAGCATGAGTTCAGTCACGTCGGTATAATTATTGTACTTTTTAAAAGTCTGTCTTGATACAGCTGACACACTGTATATTGTATTTTGTGTTTTTTTTATGCATAAACATGCTGCAGAATTGATATTGAAAGGTCTGTTCCTTCCTCACCACCCCTGGATGCCACACTATCATCACTTATCAATAAGAGCTTGAGATTTAGCAGTATAACACTTTATACAAGAAACCAAAATTTTCCATGTATACAAACTATTTCAAAGAAACAGTTTTGGAGCTGTGAGTAATCTGAGCTGCAGCTGACCAACAAACAAGCGTGTCATTTACTGAGAAACCTTAATTGAACCAAAGCTGGCCAATGGCAGGTCTCGATTCCCTGAAATCAGACTCCTTTCCCTCCCTCATCTGACCAGGAAAGGCACAACCTCATCGCTCAAAAATCTAAACCGAAAGAATTGAGGGAGAGGGGTTCCCAAAGGAAGGGCCAGGGGAGTTCCCAGGGTCTGGCTGATGGATGGCTCAGCAACAAAAAGCTCTCTGTTCTCTGCAGGTCTTTTTTTTCTTTCTTTTATCTGCATCAGGCTGCAAAAGCCTCCCATAAGCAACAATAGAGCATCCTCTCACCCTTAAAATCCTTTTTGGGACTGCAAGATCAAGTTGTGAGGAAAGAGACCCCCCCCCCCGCATCTTAAAAAACTGACCAACCCTGCAAACCTAACATTTTCGGGTTGGGTGAAGCCGAGTGAAGGGACAGTGGCAAAAACCAAGCCAGTCCCCACAGCCTCCCTGATCTAAAGCTCTCCGAATGGTACCACGGGTGGGAGAATGAGAACCAAGACTTCAGATCAAACCTGAAATGTAGCTAAAATCTTTCAGGAATGTCTGAGGCAAAACACCACGTCGTTCTTTTTCACGTTCCAGCTAAAGGACTTTGTCCGACCTTGGATATTGCCACATTGGTCCTGCCTTAAAGCCAGGCCCTGAGGTAAAATGCCAACCTGGCTCATTAATGCGGGTACCTGGCCAAACTGCCAAATATAAACCAAATGTGCATTTCCTCATATCATAGAATTTATCCATGCATTTGCACTGACATATAGTGATCTGGTGAAAATTATACGCTATGCATCTTATGGTTGGATGTGATATGATGATAATGGTCCTGGCCAGTTCTGACACTGGCAAACTCAAAAGCTCAGGGCCTTGTTGAAAAGACATGAAACAAAATCCACTAGTAGAACTGTGTATAAATAAGTTGGACAGGTTCCTTTTTGTGCACTGAAGAAAACCCTGATATAACTTTGAGGGTGAGTTAACAGAAGGATATGCTCTCCACAAAAGTCATTCTTTTAAGATCTGAGTAATATAAAGTACATGCATGAAGATTTTCAAACTTTGCACCAAGAAACCTTTTGAAGTCTTGCCAGACGCCTGTCCTAAATCAAAATACTTTCTTGGATTTGTAAAAAAAGTAATCCTCTTTTTTTAATCTGACAACTGTTTGATTAGATGGGGAGCTGAAAAATGCCTTACAAGG